TTTTTTAAATATTATTGTTTTATAATTGCTTTTTCAAAAAAAAAAAAAAAAAAACATTTAAAAAATTAGTTGTCTCTAAAAAAAGTAACTACGTCTAAAAAAGAATTCCATTTTTCTCAAAAACCACTTTTTTCAAAAAAAAAATGCCTTTTTTTTTATGAAAAATCACTTTTTCCAAAAAAAAAATTACCTTTTTGAAAAAGTTACTTTTCTAAAGACTAATTTTTTTCTAAATAGATGATTTTTTTTTTCTGAAAATTTCGTATTTTTTTAAAGAACTTATTCTATTAAAAATTTATATTTTCTACAAATAATTTTTTTTATAAAATAATCACTTGTTAAGTAGCATATTTTCAAAATCACTTTTTCTAAAAGCAAGTGGCGTTTTCTATGTTAAGTTTTCTTTAAACAAATTGATTTTTCTAAAGCAATCACTTATTTTGAAAATTTTGACAAATCACTTAAAAAATATCTTCTTTCACCGGTTTTTATACACGCCATTTGATTTCAGTATTTCGGCATTTAACATTTTATTCACATTAATTGGTTTCTCTGCTGCTTTACCTTCAAGGAGATCAATCTGACTCCGTTAGGGAGTCGCTCATAAAAAGGACTCCCTACTAGAGTCAATTTGAACTACAAAAGGTTGATAAACGATGATTTTGTTATATTTTTCTTCACATTTTCTTATATTCGTGCACTATTCGAGGGCTTTTCATTTTCATTTTATCATACATTTTTATTTTATTTATTTATTTTTATATAAATAATTTTTTAGTATTTTTTTAATAATTTATTTAAACATTTTGTGCGAAAAGCTTGAGAAACTGGCCAAAAAAGCCAAAAAGATTCCCAAAGTACACAGAACTTATGGCGGGAACACGTCTACGGTAGTAAAAATGCTACACCAAGAGGTGGCGAACCCGATTGCCCAAACGGTGATCATGGAACAGATTTTTCATCGCCCTACTATGCAGAAGGATGAATACCAATCGCCCACTTGGAAAACTACAAATGGATTTCCAGCAGAGCTATTCAAACATGGCGGCAGTAGCATAAACCGCATTGCAAAATGAAGATTGCAACCGATATGCACAACAGGGAAGCACAAAGTCCACGTTGATTGCCTTGAGAAAGCCTTCATAGATATCATCCTAACATGGATAGTTTGTGAAGTCTAAAACTCATTGTCACCAAACTAAATAGATCTGGTAAATTTCTATACAACAAATTTAGGAAAAGACATGCACCGCTTCCTCGTAGATTTCGAAGCAGCCTCCCAGAGCACGAAAATAATGTGGTTCTCAGCCAATATGTCCGAATTTGTTATCCCTGCAAAGGTGTGGCTGTGTAAACTGATGTTCAGATATACCAAAAGCACCGTCAGGATCGAGAAGAACCCATTCGAGCCGTTCGATACCAAACGAGGCTTCAGACAGAATGGTTCTTTATCATTCAATTTCTTTAGTTTAGTGCTGGAGATAATTATAAGAGCTGAGAAATCTAAATAGAGAAGATACAACTTTTTATGAAAGTATACAGTTGCTGGCGGGCAAATCGTTTGGGTCTGGTAGTGTTCGAATGCAAAACGAAATATCTCCTGTCATCACACAAACAGTCCTCACAGCTTCCACGTCACTTTTGAAAGTCATTACTTCGAGGTCGTAGCTGATTTCCTCTATTTTGGAATCAGCATCAACACCAATAATAATGTCAGCCGTGAAATCCAACGTAGAATTACTCTTGCCAACAGGTGCTACTTTGGGCGAAATAGACAAATGTAAATTAAAGTCCTCTCTCGACGAACAAAAACCAAACTCAAAAAGTTTTCAAAAATTGAGAAAACATAATGTTCCACTTTCAGCTAATTTAAATATAATATTCGAGATTTAATTTATTTTCGATGAATTCAACTTATATACTCCAATCTTCTAAATCGCATATGGGTTTCCGTGTAGCTGTTAACCTTAGACTGAATATTTTAATAAAATTTAAATATGATTAAATTTGCCACTCCATGTACCCGCTATTCTTTCAAATATATTATCAACAAAATTACACCACGAAAGCGCCTGTAGTTATGCAACGATTTTCGCAAGCACTTGCATAGGGGAGTCTCTGTTAAGAGAAAGAAAAACCATTTATCACAATAGAAAGTGACAAAAAAGGCAGTGATTGTTTAAGAGAAGATTTCGGTGGTAAAACTTGAAGCACGTGTTGTTGCTCTATTGCACGCGCGAAAATCTATCCTGCGACACACTGTTATGTGTGCGAGAGCGCAATGTTTGTGGGAAAACGTTCAAGGTTTTCTATTTTAGTAAAATTTGTGCGGCAGGAAACTTTTAACTAAGAAGTTCGCGATTTTTTTTATATAAGAAACTTTATTATCAAAAAAAAAAAAAAAAAAAAAAAAACTTGAAAGCAATGCTGTAGTAGCACAACAAAGACGTAATCGAAATACATAAATACAGCAAGTTAACACGAAAATACATGCATAAATTTCCATGTGTTAAACAAAAGTTCAGTGGGAACTTACGCTGAGTTAAAAGTTTTTAATGATAAAGTTTTCACGTTTAGTTGACAAAAATTTACTGCGACGTTCTTTTTTATTCGCATAAGTAAGGGGAGGGAAAATGATTGCAAAAAAATATTGCATAAATTTTATTGAATGTACTTTAAAGTGGGTATGAAATTTGTGAATTTAATATATATTTGCGTAAAAGTTGGTAGAAATTAAATAAACTGTGCTGATAAAATCATTTTTTTTTGTTATATCAAAAAAAAAAAAAAAATAAATAAAAGATTATAAAGAAGATATTGAGAACATATTTCACAATATTTTAATTAAAATTTTATAATTCCTAATTTTTTCATAAATAAAATGTCATGAAAAAGTTTGTGGTTTCAAAAAAAAAAAGGAAAAAATTTTGTTCCTTTACACTTATGTGTGCATAATGTTATTGATTATGTGTACCACATAATTTGTGCTTGCATTGGTGGCAACAGAAGTTGGGTAGCTATAATGACGGCTAACAACATAAGCAAATGCAACAGCAAATGTGAAAACCACAGTTAAATATGGTATCATGAAGTAAATAATAGCAAAATTCGTTGCATAAATACAGGCGCAGTTAGCTGATAGCTGTCCGCCGTTGTAAAATGTTTCATAAAAAAATATATGAAAATATATACATTAGTACATATGTAATACAAGTGCATTTTTTCTTCGTTTACCACGACTTTTCGCCTTTCTCTCTTGATTTCCGCTTTTTTTCTCCCTACATTTCCTGCCAACTTTTGCTGCCCTCAAAAACTTTGCATGCTCTCAAATTGCACGTGTTGTCGGCGGTTTTGTGTAAAAGTTTAGTGCGCATGCAGTCGGCTTAAGCGGTTATTTTTTTCACTCGCGCTACCACTTAATGATGGGAGTTCAGATATAGTACACATGTGAACCCAGGCAGTGTTGTCAGTGTGCACAGTGTGCAAAAAGTTTACAGATTTTTGTTGTAGTTTTTGGACTGTTCATAATAGTTTTCTGGTTTTCTTCATTAACTATTTAATGTTTATAGTGAACATTTATTTATGTATATTTTTTTGGAATTAAGTTGAAGCAAAAGTATGACGCAGATTATTGGTGTTGCTCAAAGTTGTCTCTTAAATTAGAGAAATTATGTATAAAGTAGTGACACTTAAAATTGTATTACGGCAGAGTTTTAATAAGTTGTTTTTTGAATTTATGAAATTAATTGTTTAGTTTTACTTGTGGTCTTCACCTTTAAATTAGTTCAAAATGAGATTTTTATTTACTTATTAAAATGAAAATAAAAATAAAAAGTAATTAATTTTAAAATGAAGATAGAAAAAAAATATTAATAAATCTATAAAAAAATGTAAGTTCATCTGAACGCCTGAAAGTATACATGATTACAAAGCAACTCACTTACCACGCATCTAAATTAGTTAGTTGTTGGTTATTAAAATAAAATAATGTAATAATAAATTACATGACTTTTGTTGGCGCAATGGTAGAGCACTCATCTGTTAAGTTAGGATCCGTTGGTTCGATCCCTGCCATAAGAAGTCTGATGAGGAGATGAGGTGATCTCCGAAACAGCTGTCACTTTTACGATTTTTCTTTGTTATACAACAAAAATATTTAATTCATACAAAAAAAATGCTTTTAACTCACTACAAACTTATAAAAATGTTAATAGTACAGGCCGTAAGAACAATTATGAGCTTTGTTAGTGTTCAATTGTAGAAGAGAATTTTATGGAACATTTGTGGCTTGTGCAGCACGAAGCTGTAGACCATATAGCCAACGTTGCAATTAAACTTTTCCGTTCTATATGAAAAGCCTCTGAGAACTAGGGTTGCGCACACCATCCTGGGATGATTCATGGCTTGAAACATAAAATTGAAATCGCTTTTGCACCACTAAAACGGCACGCAATCGATATGGGCTACTACAAAGCAGGCCGTAACAGCCACAGGATTGAAGTGGTGTTCCATAATTAATAAGAATGTCGAGAGATTTTATTGAAAAATTTTTATCCCTTGCTAATGCTAATGTCTGATTTTTGATCTTAAAAATTGTGTACTGATCTAGTCACAGTCTAAAAACTGAACTAAAATCTTCCTCAGACCTTACGAAGTTACACACACGTATATAGAGTCACGTAGTTTATTATTGGAAATATTGCAGAATGAAATTTAAGTTTGATAATTAGGGCTTTAACCGTCTATGGGCATCTTCTAAACTTTAGTTAGTTACATTAAAAATATGCTCACGAGCTGATGCTCCGACCATTTAGAGACGCTTAAGCTCAAGCGATGTCTAGTTGTGAAGGCATTTCTGGTAATAACTCTTTTTTAACGATTTTACCAGAAGTGTTCCACATTATACCCCAATTAATGATATATACAATAGTTTTGTTTACAATTAGTTTCTTGTGATCTGTGGCACTTGCACACTTATATTACTTAATTTTTAGACTCACCTTATCACGTATATCTTGTCTCATCTTTTCGCGCTCCTCTTCCATCTTACGATGCTTCTCCTTTCGTCGCTCTTCGGCCTCACGTATGGCCTCCTGACGCTCTCTCTCCTCCTCCTCTGCCTTTTCCTTATCATCGCCATCATCACCGCCATCACCACCTACGGCGCCTGTAATGGTAAAAAATTTAAGAAATAAATTATTTGCAATTCTCAAAATCATTGAACTTAATTAATTTAAATAAATAATACTTAAAATGTAAGCATTAAAATGTACTTCATTAGTTTTGCTGGCGATGGCGTTTGAAAGATGATACTTTGTACTAAAAAAGAGAGAAGTGTTGATTACATAGCACAGTAACGTGTGAGCATATGTCGTAAGATGGTCACGAGCAAAGGGAAAATATGATATTTTCTTCTTTGATAAAGGAAAACACGAACATCAGACAGCTCAATAGCTGAAAATGGGAATGGGAATTACTGTAACTGTCAATCAATACTTTTGATATGGTAGATGATCCACGGCGTGGACGGCCAATTGGCTAAAATTGTCGATAATAGAATGGAAATTGTAGAGTGTGAACGTCATGCGAGCATTGTTTCGTTTACCTAAGGACAAAACATTAGTGTTCCTGTCCATGGTGAATAATTTGGTTGGTGAAGCATTAGCCTCAAACAAGATATGTGAAAAACGATTCTTTCCATTTGCAGACAATAGAGACTGGAGTTTGTATGAGAAACTTAATAGCATTTCTCTAAAAATGGTGAAAACTTATCGAGCAAAACGCTGCTGATTCGACATAAGTCGGTGAGTGTTAATTATGGTGAATGCAGCCTTCAATTTAATGCAAAAATAATTTAAATTAAATTAAATTATATTCTATTATACTCTACATATGTATTGTAGTTTATTTCAATGTAAAATTAAATTAAATTAAATTATGTTCTAAAAAAATATGATTTTATATTGACATAAAAAAATATGTTTGCTTATTTGTAAATAAGTTTAATTTGATATAATTTTGAGCTAAGAGACGTCATAAATATTCCTTACAAAATTCAACAGAATTTTTCACTAAAGTGACTAATTTTTTTGTCACAGTAAATTCAATTAAATCCTTAAATGTGATTTTGACAGTTAAAGAGATAGCTTTGTAGTAAGAAATTTAGTTGTTTTTCTATTAAAGAAATCATTTCAAATATATTTTCATTTAATTTATAAATGACAATACTTCCACTACTCTATTAGTGTCACATAGAAATGAAAGTATCGCATACACATAAATTTATTTCAAATGTTGTCTTCGCAAATAAATCCTTATTATTTCTACTTATTTGACAGCATAATTATTTGAAACTCAATAAGCCAAGTGATAGCTCTTAAAGGCTTGCGGTTTGTCAAAGCATACATTGAGGCGTACGAAATTTGGTGAGCTTATCTCGCAATTTCAGCTACTTTTGAGGCACAAATTTGTTGTTTATTTTAATTAAATTCGTTGGTAAACATATGTTTACTTTAGCATTTGCATACACACACATAGGTAAAGGCCAAGGCGATTTTGTGATAAATTAATAAAATACAGTGTTTATCAGTGGTTGGCTGATTGCCTTCATAATAGCAGGGCGGCATAGTGTGGTTTTGTGGTGCGTTTGTGGTGTAGTTAAATTTAAATTAAATTTTAATATTTGAAAACTAATTAAAAAAAAATTCTGCTCATTGTTAGCAACCTTCTTGATAAATGTAAAGAATTAAAAAGTGCTCTAAAATTAAAGTAGTGGAAAAATATAAAATTTAATAAATTTACTAATTTAAAAAAAATAGTTTTGCGATTTTTACTCTGTCAAATTTATATTTCATTATATATTTATATTTCCTGTTAATTTATTTACCCTTCCCACATATTATTTTTATGAATATGAAATATGACATTTATTTATATAATTTTTATATCAACTGTTTAGGTACTGCCGCGCTTAATTACAAATCATTCATATTATTTTTATAATTATTGTGAAATATGAAACGCGCTTAACCGCAGGCCATGTAATTAAAATACTTGTTAATTTTTTAAATAAATAAATCAACGTATAAGTGACTGCTCATTTAATAAATGTCAATTTTTTCTTTGGAAAATATGCGTATTTATTTAGGAGGCAAAATAATTATTTTTGTCCAAAAGTGAATTTTTTTTAAATAAATGTTCTGCATTCAATTCAACAGCATATTTGAATGAATGTGTGAAGTGGAATTTATATGTTATTTTTATTGAATTAATTTAATTTTAAAATTAATGAAAAAATATACAATTTATGTTGCCAAATATATAAAAAAAATATGTCTCTGAAGCGTTAATTTATTAATATTTGAAAATATATGCACATTTAAATTCAATTAGTTTATTTATTATATTTAAATACGCTCGGAGAGCGGTTAAAGCATGCTGAGAATTATTTTGTGTTGTCTCAAAAGATAGGCAACATGTCTATAAAGTCCAAATTTTTTACTAAAAAGCTGGAAAAAAAGGTTTCTTATATGAAAAAAAGCTGAAAAGTTCATGACAAGTCTTAGGGATTTCAGCTACAGATATTTCTTATTCTAACAATCAAATGTAGGCAAACATTTTTAAAAACACCCAAATTTATATATTTACTTTTTTAAATCTTTTAAGTACTTTCAAATGAGCAAAGGAAGCTAACATTTCTCCTAATTGTTTACATTATACAATAGAACTTTTGCTCAAAAATTTTTATTAATATTTAATTTTTATGCTGCTGCAGCAATGTAAGCTTCCAAAAGGCTCTTAGAATAACAAAGCAGTCAAGTATCTGAAGTTTAAGATTTCAAATTTTGCTCCTAAATGTAGGCAACAGTTTTTTGCAGCAGTAGAGAGCTAGCTGTATATCAAACTTTTAATTCAGTTTTAACGCCTACATATATGCAACGTTTTTTGTCCTATATCTTATAAAACTTTTAATTTTATTTAAACTTGCTCACAAAAAACTAGTAAAAATTTTGAGCAGCACAATAATTAATATTAAGTAATTTCATTGCAAGAAAGATTTTTAATTATGTTTATTTACACTAAATTTGGAAAAAGGTTATATATATATATATAAAAAAAAATATTATAAAATATATTTATTGTTAAAAATGTACAATCACTTTAAGCAGTTTGAGTATGAATAAATAATTACTAAAAATTTTTACTTTTTCTCCTAAATGTAGGCAATAGGTTTTGCAATCGTTTGTTGTAACATTTAGAAACTCAATAATAAATAGTTACTGTAAAATAAATACCCTGAATTAAATTCAGCTTTTCAAAATGCACTGGTATTGGTTAGGAAAAAGATTTAAATACGACAAAAATTTAGGTGCAAACTGCATTGTTCCTAAATGTAGGCTTCATTTTTGTAAAGGTTATAAGGAATGGAGTTTTTCATAAATTTTTGCTTTTAAAACTATCGTTGCTTATTGTCACCAGCGAAAAACTGCTTATTGCATAAGATAAAGTTTTTTAGGAAAACGTCAAAAGAAAAATTTATATTGCTGAAATCAAATTTGTTGTAGATATTGTTTAATAATGATTAAACTCATGGAACATTTTATTAAATACTAAATAAAATTATTATTTAATAAGTAAAATAATTTAATTTTATTATTTGCTTGAGTAAGTTTTTACATTTTTTCTAGTTGACATCATGTACGCTAATGCCATAATGTCCAATACCTAACAAGTTTTTGCCGTTTATTAACTTACTTATTTAGTCATTAAGTTGCGAAAATGTGAGCATTTTCCGCAACTTTAAAATTTTAATTAAAAACCATAATTTTGTGTTTATTCAATTTCATTTGCTCACATTGATTTTAGTAAATGTGATTTTATGTGCGTTTCCAAGCAAGCAAACTTAATAAGCAAACTTTTTCTACTACACCTACTCACACTGACATACCCCTCACATGCACACGCACGCATTTACACAGCCAAGTAAACAAGTTTCGACTCGACAAGCATCTCACACCAATGAAATAAAGTTCATTCATTTTATGATGCTTCTTTTACTAATTACATTTGTTGCTTTGCACAATATTTAAGTTAATTAAAAGTAATGCTTTGTTATTGCGCCAAAAACTTTCTAATGCCCAAAATGAGTGGAAGTCACCCAACTCGCTCTCTACTTACGCTAAAACGGAAGCGAGCATTTTGTAGTGAATTTCCTTCAAAGAAATATTAGAAAGTATGAGTGTGTTTGTGTATCTGTGCAGCAAATGTTAAAGTTGAAATCAATACCCTGGCCCAAGTTGACTGTCAAATTTATTATAACTGAAAACCATATGCCACTCAAAAGTAGCGGGCGTGCGAGAGAGTGAGTAGACTAGTGAGTGGTGAAGACTGGGTTGCTGTGAAAATTGCAAATAAAATTGTAATGCTATTCAATGTGGCGGCAATAGAAGCGGCCAGAGCAGTAACACGATCTGTAGTACAGTGTTGCGGCCTACAAGCGTTAGCCTACTCAAACTCCTTGCTGTCAATGGAAAGGCAATATGTAATCAAATTTAACGACTGTTTTAATTATTTATTGTGTCATGGTGAGTGAGTGCAAGTCGGGTAGGTGAAAAGGAGCGCTCTTTATTGCGTTCGTTCACTTGAATTCTGTTCATTGAGTTGGTTGACTCCTTGCCATCAATGCTATTAGTTGGCTGAACCTCATAAATTAAAGTTCTGCTCAGTAACTCAACAACAAAACAACTCTCATGAATGTCAACAGTTTTTGAACTCAAGTGTTTTTAATTGATGTTATTGTGAAAAGTTTGACTGATGAGTTGGATGAATGGAGTTGATGCAGTGCCACTTGTTTAATAGCATATCATTAATTATTTTTCATATTTTATGTTTTTTTTTTTCATATAAGAAAATTTAATTTTTACTAAATATTCTTAGAGAAATTTAATTAAAAAAATATTTAAATAACAACTATTATTTGAATTGTTGTAAAAACTAAAGGGTACTATAACTCGTCGAAAAAAGTTATTTTTAAATGTTTTAAATTAAAATGCTAAAGTAAGACTCCCAGCTGAAAAACAAATTTTTAATTTTTTATGTTTTCCTTTACTTGATTTTCTCTTAATAAAATAGAAATTCAAGAAAAAAAAATTGTTATTTATGACGTTT